TAATAAAAAAAGCATAAAAAACAAACAACACTAAGAAAAAGTTAAGCACCCCCGTGCCCACGCGCAAAGGTCGAACACATGCATTGGTCCTGCACACATACGTAAACGGCGATTGCACCACACATGCAAGGTATGGTATCACCGCGAACATCAGAGCGAGAGCAATAATTCGAGCACCGGTCCTCCTCTGTAACGGCTTTTAAAGCGTCACCTGTGGCAAAGTAGTTTGTTGCCATTCCATGATCGTGCACAATTTTAAAATTTATTTACCCTAGGTTGACATATATGCAGCTGTGCGGGCCGCGTTTTGCGTGGGCACGAGATCCCATTCAGTCGAATGGACTCCTGTGCCCCGTGACACGCAGGGAAGAAGTCCCTGCACTTCTTCTGAAACCGCAGCCCGCACGGAAACCTCAGTTTCCAGTACAGTTGCGTTTTCCAGTGTGGGCGGCGTGCCATTAGAACTAATGGCAACCGCCAGCGGGTCCGCATTCTTCTGTGCGGGTGGTGCAGCTGCACAGATTTTCGTGCCGATCCACAGCCGCACCACCCGCACAGATGTAAACCTAGTCTTACTCGGAGTAATCTTTTATATTTTACCAAAAAGAAGTATTATAATGTGTTTGTTTGCATTAAAATGTATTAAAGTGTATTTGTTCCAAAAAATATATGTTCGAAAAACCACTGTGCAAATATCATGTGACATAAAAAAAAAAAATTTGCAAAACCCACCATTTTATTCTCTAGGGAAATCTCCCTGCACCAATCCCATGCTGTCACAGAAGGAAAAGATGGGGTTTGTAAATCCCCGCGGCTTTCTCTCCTTTCTCTCTCTGATAGTACGGGCTAGAGGGCTTTTGATTGGTCAGCACCGCCATGTTAACCTTAGAGTTAAGGTTAGGTTAGGGTTAGGAATAGGGAATTAGGGATTGGATTTAAGGTTGGGGTTAATATTTTATTTGTCTTATTATTCTTTTTTTTTTTGCTAGGGTTAGGGTGTTAATAAATATTTATAATAGTACTAATACTAATAATAACAACAATAATAAATAATAACTGAAAAAATAAATACTGTATTTTTCGCTCCATAAGACGCACTTTTTTCCCCCCAAAAAGAGGGGGAAATGTCAGTGCGTCTTATGGAGTGAATATGAAGTGGCCGGTCTATTTCCGCCGCCATGTCAGAATACGGGCCGGCCGCTCAGCTGTTCTCTGCGGTAGGAACTCACCTGTTCCTCGGTCCAGCGCTGTAGTCTTCCCGCGCCGGCATCTGTGACAGCCGGGTGCCCACTGCGCATGCGCGAGAAGCGCTGCGCTTTGTGAATAGTCCGGTGTCTTCTGGGACACATGACAGGTCCCAAAAGACGCTGGGCTATTCACAAAGTGCAGCGCGTCTCGCGCATGCGCAGTGGGCACCCGGCTGTCAAAGTCGGGTGCCCACAGTATAGGAAGGAGAACTCCACGGAAGTGGGAGTGGGTACCTGTCAAATTCAGGTACCCACTCCCCCTCCCTCCCTAAAGGTCCGCAGTGTCTGGTCATGCCCTGTACTGCCCTGTCATACTGTCTACAGTCTCTGGTCATCTCCTGTACCGTGTCCGCAGTCTCTGGTCTCTCCGGTCTCTGGTCATCCCCTGTTCCGTGTCCGCAGTCTCTGGTCATCCTCCTGTTCTGTGTCCGCAGTCTCTGTCATCTCCCGTCTGTGTCCGCAGTCTCTGGTCTCCCTGTGTCCGCAGTCTCTGGTCATCTCCCGTACTGTGTCCCGCAGTCTCTGGTCATCTCCCGTACTGTGTCCGCAGTCTCTGGTCATCTCCCGTACTGTGTCCTGGTCATCTCCCGTACTGTGTCCGCAGTGTCTGGTCATCTCCCGTACTGTGTCCGCAGTGTCTGGTCATCTCCCGTACTCCCGTACTCCGTACTGTGGTCATCTCCCGCAGTCTCTGGTCATCTCCCGTACTGTGTCCGCAGTCTCTGGTCATCTACTGTGTCCCCGTACTGTGTCCGCAGTGTCCCGTACTGTGTCCGGTCATCTCCCGTACTGTGTCCGCAGTGTCTGGTCATCTCCCGTACTGTGTCCGCAGTCTCTGGTCATCTCCCGTACTGGTCCGCAGTCTCTGGTCATCTCCGTACTGTGTCCGCAGTCTCTGGTCATCTCCCGTACTGTGTCCGCAGTCTCTGGTCATCTCCCGTACTGTGTCCGCAGTCTCTGGTCATTCCCGTACTGTGTGTACTGTTCCGCAGTCTCTGGTCATCTCCCGTACTGTGTCCGCAGTCTCTGGTCATCTCCCCGCAGTCTGGTCTCCCGTACTGTGTCCGCAGTCTCTGGTCATCTCCCGTACTGTGTCCGCAGTCTCTGGTACTTTCTGTACTATGTCTGCAGTCCATTGGTTCAGAATATTTTTTTTCTTGTTTTTCTCCTCTAAAACCTAGGCGCGTCTTATGGAGCGAAAAATACGGTAGATAAACACCCTAACACACAATAAAAAATAATGTATTATTATGATTATTATTAATAATAATCAATTTTTTTTGGTCAGGTTTGGGGGTTTTATTTTATTATTAATAATAATTATTTAACCCCTAGACGCCAAGCGCACATAAATATGCGGCCTCTCAGCATCTGGGCCTTGACACTCAGCGGCTGCATATTGGCATACCATTTGAAAATACATATGTGCTGAGAGAGCGCGCCCTACGAACTCACAGAAAGGTCCCAATCACCCCTTGCGATCGGGAACTTTTCCGATCATGTGACTGGCGTGCCAGCGAAACACGGCGGTCACATGACTCTAAAACCCCGCCCCGGCTTCTGAAACTCTTAAAGGGCCGGGAAGCGCCGGCGCAAAGGGGTTAATATATATTTTTAGGATTAGGGGGTTAAGGTTAGGAGTTATTTATTTATTATTGCATATTATTAATTTATTTGACATTTATTTATTAATTTATTATTACCATATTTTTTTTTTTTTTTTTTGCATTTTTTCATTTGAGCAGAAGATCCCGCAAAAACGAGCGTTCCCATTAATTTCTATGGGAATAAAAACACGCCAGAAACAAGCAAAATCTGCCCAATTTGAGCTACAAAAAAAGCTCCAGAACTTGTTTGAGCTTCAGGCGACTTTGAGTGGAAATGAGAACCATCTCCATTGAGAAGAATTGATTTTTGCTCCTCAAGTGTTTTGGAGCTTCGAGCTACAAGACGCTCAGGTGTGAACGCGGCCCTAGAAGTAGGGTGGGAGCAGTTTAATCTAGACTTCCACTTTACCTTCTGAATCACTGGAATGAGGAGGTGAGTATTTCTGTGAGTTTATTTCCACTTTAATTGGAGAATCCCAATATGAAAGACTATGGGGGTTATTTACTAGAACTAGAGAGTGCAAAATCTGGTAAAACATACAAAACATAGAAACCAATCAGCTTTCAAAGCTTTATTGAACAAGCTGAAGTTAGAAGCTGATTGGCTTCCATGCACCGCTGCACCAGATTCTGAGAGCTCCAGTTTTAGTGAATCTCCCCTCTATATCAGACTGCCATTTTAATTTGGTCCTGTACATACAGTGAAGGAAATAATTATTTGCTCCCCTGCTGATTTTGAATGTTCGCCCACTCACAAAGAAATGATCGGTCTAAAAATCGAATGTTCGGTGTATTGTAACACTGAGAGACAGAATAGCAACAAAAAATTCAAATGAAATGCATGTCTAACAAATGATGACTGATCTGCATGTTCATGAGGGAAATAAGTATTTGATCCCCTATCATTCAGCAGGATTTCTGGCTACCAGGTGTCTTTCATACAGGGAACAAGCTGAGATTAGAAGCAGTCTCTTAAAGGGAGTGCTGCTAATCTCATTGTGTTACCTGTATAAAAGACACCTGTCCACAGGAGCAATCAAACCATCAGATTCCAAACTCTCCACCATGGCAAAGACCAAAGAGCTGTCCAAGGATGTCAGGGACAAGATTGTAGACCTACACAAGGCTGGACTGGGCTACCAAACTATGGCCAAGCAGCTTGGTGAGAAGGTGACAACAGTTGGTGCAATCATTCGCAAATGGAAGAAACACAAAACAACTGTCAGCCTTCCTAGGTCTGGTGCACCATGCAAGATCTCACCTCGTGGAGTGTCAATGATCATGAGAACAGTGAGGAATCATCCCAGAACTACACGTGAGGATCTTGTCAATGATCTCCAGGCAGCTGGGACCACAGTCACCAAGAAAACAATTGGTAACACACACTACGCCGACAAGGACTGAAATCCTGCAGTGCCCGCAAGGTCCCTCTGCTCAAGAAAGCACATGTCCAGGCCCGTCTGAAGGTTTGCCACTGAACATCTGAAGGGGACAGGACAACTGCACCGCATCAAAAGGATGATGGATGGGGCAATGTACCATCAAATCTTGGGTGAGAACCTTCTTCCCTCAGCCACGGCATTGGAAATGGGTGGTGGATGGGTGTTCCAGAATGACAATGACCCAAAACACACAGCCAAGGCAACAAAGGAGTGGCTCAAGAAGAAGCACATTAAGGTCCTGGAGTGGCCTAGCCAGGCTCCAGACCTTAATCCGACTGAAAATCTGTGGAGGGAGCTGTTGCCAAACGTCAGCCACCAAACCTGAATGACTTGGAGAGGATCTGCCAAGAGGAGTGGGCCAAAATCCCTCCTGGGATGTGTGCAAACCTGGGGGCCAACTCCAGGAAACATCTGACCTCTGATTGCCAACAAGGGATTTGCCACCAAGTACTAAGTCATGTTTTGTGAAGGGGATCAAATCCTTATTTCCCTCATGAACATGCAGATCAGTCATCATTTGTTAGACATGCATTTCTGCTGAATTTTTTTGTTGCTATTCTGTCTCTCAGTGTTAGAATACACCGAACGTTCGATTTTTAGACCGATCATTTCTTTGTGAGTGGGCAAACATTCAAAATAAGCAAGGGAGCAAATACGCATTTCCTTCACTGTATTTGTATCTTAAACCCACCATAAACACTCACCACTGTGCTGTCAAAGTAGACGACGAAGGCCTGGACGGACTCAGCTACCCGAGCAGTCACCTGGGCTGTGCTGGGTACTATGCAGATATTTACAAGGGCTGTGTAGTACTTGTTGTCTATCCTCCAGGGGTACTGCCGAACACCCTCCGTCTCCTGTACAATCGTAGGAAGCTGGTCTGTGCCGATGATTTCTTCAAGAAAAAAAAAAAAAAAAAAAAAACAAACATATGTATTACTTGAACAAAAAAGGTCTAGCATTCTCTCATTATTATTATTATACAGTATTTATATAGCGCCAAAGGGTTTGCTCAGCGCTGTACAATAGCAAGGGGCACAGAACATGAGACAAGACAGTAACAATACAATACACGAGGGGTTTGAGGGCCCTGCTCTTTCGAGCTTACAATCTAGGAGGGAGGGGAAGTGGTACAGGAGGAAATGGCTGTGGGGGATGGAGTGGTGGGAGGAGTGGAGGAGGTTAGTTGTTAGGTGAGGTCGGGTGTTAGGTGAGGTTGGGGTAGACTTCCCTGAAGAGGTGGGTTTTCAGGGTGCGCCTGAAGGTGAGGAGGGTAGGTGACAGTCGGATGGATTTGGGTAGGGAGTTCCAGAGGATTGGGGAAGTCTGGGAGAAATCCTGCAATCGGGCGTGGGAGGAGGAGACCAGGGTGCTAGAGAGTAGGAGGTCCTGTGAGGAGCGGAGGGCACGGGTAGGGTGGTATTTGGGTATCAGGTCGGTGAGGTAGTTTGGGGCGGCGTTGTGAATGGCTTTGTATGTCAGTTAGTAATTTGAATTTGACGCGCTGGACAATCGGGAGCCAGTGGAGGGAATGACAGAGGGGGGTGGCGGATGTGGAGCGGTTGGTGAGGTGGATGAGTCTAGCCGCTGAGTTCAGGATCGACTGGAGCGGGGATAGTGTTCGTTTGGGTAGACCAGTGAGAAGGGAGTTGCAGTAGTCCAGGCGTGAGATGATGAGGGAGTGTACGAGTTGTTTGGTGGTGTCTGGGGTGAGGAATGTACGTATCTTGGAGATGTTGCGGAGGTGGAGCCTGCATGACTTTGATAGTAATTGGACGTGAGGTTGGAAGGAAAGGTTTGAGTCCAGGGTGACACCCAGGACTTTGGCATGTGGGGTGGGAGTGATGGTGGCGTTGTTAGTAGTGATGGAGAGGATGGTGGGGGGGCGCGGGGTAGGGGGAAGACCAGGAGCTTGGTTTTGGACAGGTTTAATTTGAGGAAATGGAGCGACATCCAGTCTGATATGTCGTTCAGGAGGTGGGCGATGCGGGTGGAGACTGAGGGGGTGAGGTGAGGGGTGGAGAGGTAAATTTGTGTGTCGTCGGCATAGAGGTGGTAATTGAAGCCGTGGGAGTGTATTAGTTTGCCAAGGGAGGAAGTGTAGATGGAGAAGAGGAGGGGCCCGTGGACAGAACCTTGGGGGACCCCAACAGAGAGGGGGAGGTGGCAGTGTTATAGGTGACGCTGAAGGAGCGTTGGGATAGGTAGGAGGAGAACCAGGAGAGAGCAGCGTCCCTGATGCCAAGGGAGTGCAGTTTAGTAAGGAGGAGGGGGTGGTCGACAGTGTCGAAGGCCGCGGAGAGGTCAAGGAGCAGGAGGACAGAGTAATGGCCATTAGCTTTGGTGGTTAGCAGGTCGTTAGTGATTTTAAGTAGGGCAGTTTCGGTGGAGTGTAGGGGACGGAAGCCAGACTGTAGGGTGTCAAGGAGGTTGTTATCAGTGAGGTGGGCGCTTAGGCGATTGTAGGCCAGGCGCTCTTGTTCAACCAAGGTCAAAGTGCAGACATCTCCATCTATGGTCTCCAGTAAAGAGTTAGTTTTTTTTTTAGTTCACATTCACTGGCTATCTTTGTAAACCTCCAGGTCTTCTTGTGACAAACCCAACCAGGACAGGGGCTTTTGGAGGGGACTAGGGAATAGCCTTCTAACCACTTGATTATAGCCCATGGAAGAGACTGGGGATTTTGTCTGCTTCTCCCAGTCAGAGAATTGAGGAGAGCTCAGTTCAGCCTCTGACCCCATGGACAGAGCAGATCAGTCTGTGATGATGGATAATAACAGAAAAAAGGACTAGTTGTGGACTCAACCGGAATGGGGAATTTGTAAATGCTCAAGAGAAATAAGTTGAGTATTTACAAATTCCCCATTCCGGTTGAGTCCACAACTAGTCCTTTCTTCTGTACACTTCTCATTAGCTTGGTGTCTAGGGACTCCCGGAATAAATATTTTCGTTTGATCATCTATTTTTAGGTACCTTGAGGCTTCTTTTTGGAAGTTTTACGATGATGGATAATAACGTGATGAACACAGAGACGGAGCCTTGCATTAATTCTCTGAATAAGAACAATAAAGCTTCCCTTCTGTAGGGGATGGAAAGGTGTAATATTATTCTTCACTATCCACACCTAGAGGGTTCTTTGGGCATCTTTCCTGCAACCAGAATAAGGATCATAGACTGATCCTCCATTATGGTAAGAAGATAAAGTGAGAACCTCCTTAAATTAGCCATAGAACGAACATAAATAGTACATGAGGCCTCCGAGCAGGACTTGAAGTAGACCTTAGGCCCTTCAAAGCAGAACGTGCCTGTTGGGTATACCTACTCTGCCCTTAACTATCCCCTCAAAGAAGAGTGTGCCTGTCGGGTACACCTACCAGCCCTTAACTATCCCCTGAAAGAAGAGTGTGCCTGTCGGGTACACCTACCCGCCCTTAACTATCCCCACGGTACACCTACCCCCCCTCAAATTAGAGTGTGCCTGTTGGGTACAATTACCCATCCTTAACTATACCCTCAAAGAAGAGTGTACCTGTCCGGTACACCTACCCGCCCTTAACTATCCCCTCAAAAAGAGTGTGCCTGTCGGGTACACCTATCCATCCTTAACTATCCCCTCATAGAATAGTGTGCCTGTCGGGTACACCTACCCGCCCTTAACTATCCCCTCAAAGATGAGTGTGTCTTCCAGGTACACCTACCCGCCCTTAACTATCCCCTCAAAGATGAGTGTGTCTTCCAGGTACACCTACCCGCCCTTAACTATCCCCTCAAAGAAGAGTGTGCCTGTCGGGTACACCTACCCATCCTTAACTATTGCCGCAAAGAAGAATGTGCCTGTCGGGTACACCTACCCATCCTTAACTATCCCCTCAAAGATGAGTGTGTCTTCCGGGTACACCTACCTGCCCTTAACTATCCCCTCAAAGATGAGTGTGCCTTCCGGGTACACCTACCCGCCCTTAACTATCCCCTCAAAGATGAGTGTGCCTTCCGGGTACACCTACCCGCCCTTAACTATCCCCTCAAAGATGAGTGTGTCTTCCGGGTACACCTACCCGCCCTTAACTATCCCCTCAAAGATGAGTGTGTCTTCCGGGTACACCTAACCACCCTTAACTATCCCCTCAAAGATGAGTGTGTCTTCCGGGTACACCTACCCGCCCTTAACTATCCCCTCAAAGATGAGTGTGCCTTCCGGGTACACCTACCCGCCCTTAACTATCCCCTCAAAGATGAGTGTGCCTGTCAGGTACACCTACCCATCCTTAACTATCGCCTCAAAGAAGAGTGTGTCTTCCGGGTACACCTACCCGCCCTTAACTATCCCCCCATCCTTACCTCTTTACCCCCCTGCTGTTCTTGTTATATACTGTTATGCAATCTTGCATTCATGCAATTCATTCTATGCAATTCATTGTTTTCTGTAAGGATGAACTAACCCTTTAAATCATCAACACTTTTCATCCATCAATCAAACTAAAAAATGAATACTCAAACACACGTCAACTTCCTAGACACCACGGTATACATCAGAGATGATACGCTTCACACCTCAATATACAGGAAACCCACTGGTTGGTGAAACTACCTCCACAGTTCCAGCTTTCACCCCCCATACACAAAACGGGCCATCATACACAGTCAGGCCATCAGATACCACCAAATATGTTCAGACCCAAAAGACTGAGATAAACATCTCGGGACACTAGCAGACTCCTTCATAAGAAAGGTTACAAGGACAAAACTATCAACACCGGCATAAACACAGCCTTGAAAACCTGAAGAGAAAATGTATTCCAATACAAAGAGAAAAAAAACAACCAGCCGTGTACCTCTAGTAACTACATACAACCCAGCATTAGAAGGAATAAAAAAAAATAATCAAAGATTTACAACCCATCATAACAGAGGATGGAACTCTGAAAGAAATATTTCTGCAACCTCCAATACTGGCTTTTAGACAACCCCCCCGAACCTTAGAAGGAAGTTTAATACTGATTAGTTTATTTCTGATGATGATGTCACACATAATGAAAGCAAATCCTGCAATAAAAAACGCTGCAAGCTGTGCAACCAAATGAATCCATCAAAAAGTGTCAGACACTCAAAAGGGATCTTCAATATCACCGGATCCTACAGCTGGACCTCCAGTAATATTGTGTACCTTATCCAGTGCAGAAAATGCAGCAAAGGCTCTTATGTTGGCGAAACAGGACAGAAGTTGCAAACAAGGATGAATTTGCAAAGATGTACTGTGATGGGATTCACTTTGGGTGGGGGGCCCATGGAACCCAGCTCACTTTGGAGAGGTGGGGAGACCCCTGTCTCAGCTCCCCATATCCCTATTATGTGTAAGTCACCCTGTGCCTGTTAGGCGTAGAGAGTGATCTGTCCTAATATTGTGTAGACATGTCTAGGAGATAGGTGAGTTGGGGGGTTGTGGATTGTTTGGTGTTATGTGGTTGCATCCCATTATTCTATTGTGTCTCTGGCTTGGGAGCAAACTGCACTTGGGTACTACCGCTTCCCCGTCCGAACACCGACAACAGACACCACAGCAAACCTTACAAGACTAGACGACACCACTCTTGAAGTAATCCAGAAAGTAGACGAGTTTATTTCAACACAGATACAAGATATATACACTCAGGGGACAGTCCCCCCTCCCTGTATAATGACACAGAGTGGAGCAATCTACATTTAGTAACAAGAGACACACAGGTATTCAAACTTCATACCACAGACAATCCCATCAGGAGGGAGGGCTGCTGGAGACACCCCCCCCACCAAGCCGATACACATAAAAACATATATCCCATAATAGTTTGCTCCCAAGACAGACACACAATAGAACAATGGGATGCAACCACATAACACCAAACAATCCACAACGCCCCCACCTCACCTATCTCCTAGACATGTCTACACAATATTAGGACAGATCACTCTCTACCCCTAACAGGCACAGGGTGACTTACACATAAAAGGGATATGGGGAGCTAATACAGGGGTCTCCCCACCTCTCTAAATAGAGCTGGGTTCCACGGGCCCCCCACCCAAAGTAACTCCCGTCACACGTACCATCAAGGAACATAGATGACTTCTGCGCACCTGTGGGACTCCATTTCGCACAACCGGACCGCACTACGGAAGACTTCAATATCTTAGTTCTTAAAGGAAACTTCAAAACTATCCAGGAAAGGAAAACTTTTGAACTAAGAATGATATTTCTATTTGACACAAAAGAGAACAGCCTTAATTTGGACATGGGATTCCTCATTATCCAACAGTTTTTACGACCCCCTCTGTGAATGTTGTCCCCCTCCAGTCTTTGCTTTTGCTCTGTCTTATCTCTATGTACATTTATTTGTGTTGTTTTTCCTTTTTTTTTCCCCTCAGATTGTTTCTTTTAACATTCTGATAAAACTTTGTGAAGTAGTACAAATTGAACCTTGAAGAAGGGGACATACCCCGAAAACTTGTCCTGAAAATTGTATGTTAGTGCAAATAAAAAAAGTATCACGGACAATGCTGAATTGTTTCTGTTACAAATGCACTAATATGGCTACAATCACCTCATGTATAAATTCACAGTCTCTCTCTTATAAAGCAGTTGTTATTGTTTACTCCAAAAGCTGGTGTTGTCCAACAGCTACAGCTATACTCACTTGCCTCATGTTCCAGCTTATTGGCGGAAATACCCAGTCGGGGTGTCAGGCGTCTATCAGATGTACATATAATATAGGTAAAGCTCCTTGTAACGCGTCTGTGATTCAACTTTAACTTTGGCTGTAGCATCAATAGAAAACACTACAAATCTGCACATTGGTCTACTTTAGTCATGATGTTGGCAGAGGCCTGTATTATTATTATTATACAGGATTTATATAGCGCTCAGCCAACGCTTTACAATATAAAGGGGGACAATACAGCAACAATACAGTTCAATACAAGAGGATTAGAGGGCCCTGCTCCTTGAAGCTTACAATCTAGGAGGGCGGGGTGAGTGGTACAGTAGGTAGTCACTGTGGGGGATAGAGTGGTTGGAAGAGTAGAAGATACCAGAATTAGCAGAGGGCAGGATAGGCTTCCCTGAAGAGATAGGTTTTCAGTGAATGCCGAAAGGCAAGTAGAGTAGGTGATAATCTGATAGATTGGGGTAGGGAGTTCCAGAGGATGGGTGATGCCCTGGAGAAGTCTTGGAGACGAGCATGGGAGGAGGAGATAAGGGAGCTAGAGAGTAGGAGGTCTTGTGAGGAGCGGAAAGTACGGTTTGGGTGATATTTATAGATAAGATCGTTATGTAAGTTGGGGCAGTGTTGTGGACGGCTTTATATGTCATTGTCAGAGTTTTGAATTTTATCCGTTGGGCAACTGGGAGCCAGTGGAGGGATTGGCAGAGAGGGGTGGAGGACACTGAGTGGAGGCCAGTGGAGGGATTGGCAGAGAGGGGTGGAGGACACTAAGTGGAGGCCAGTGGAGGGATTGGCAGAGAGGGGTGGAGGACACTGAATGGAGGCCAGTGGATGGATGGCAGAGAGGGGTGGAGGACACTGAATGGAGGCCAGTGGAGGGATTGGCAGAGAGGGGTGGAGGACACTGAGTGGAGGTCAGTGGAGGGATTGGCAGAGAGGGGTGGAGGACACTGAATGGAGGCCAGTGGAGGGATTGGCAGAGAGGGGTGGAGGACACTGAGTGGAGGTCAGTGGAGGGATTGGCAGAGAGGGGTGGAGGACACTGAATGGATGCCAGTGGAGGAATTGGCAGAGAGGGGTGGAGGACACTGAGTGGAGGCCAGTGGAGGGATTGGCAGAGAGGGGTGGAGGACACTGAGTGGAGGTCAGTGGAGGGATTGGCAGAGAGGGGTGGAGGACACTGAGTGGAGGTCAGTGGAGGGATTGGCAGAGAGGGGTGGAGGACACTGAATGGATGCCAGTGGAGGAATTGGCAGAGAGGGGTGGAGGACACTGAGTGGAGGCCAGTGGAGGGATTGGCAGAGAGGGGTAGTGGATACAGAACAGTTAGTGAGGTGGATGAGTCTGGCAGCAGCATTCATGATAGACTGGAGGGGGGATAGTCTACGATGAGGTCGGCCAATGAGGAGGGAGTTACAATAGTCGAGGTGTGATATGACAAGGGAGTGAATAAGTTGCTTAGTGGTTTCCGAGGTTAGGAACGGTCATATCTTGGAGATTTTGCAGAGCTGAAGTCTACATGATTTTGTCAGCGATTGGATCTGGGGCTGGAAGGACAGATGGGAGTCTAGGATTACCTCTAGTACCCTGGCGTGAGGGGATGGATTGAGGATGGTGTTAGCGATATTTATGGTGAAGTCAGTGGCCTGTACCCAAAGTATTAAAAAAAACTTACAACCAATTTTCCATAAACTTACAGAAGTCATTCAAATTTCACATGTTGGTAGAGTAACTCTTCCTCTATAGAAACCCTTCTTCTTTATTGCAGGGAAATAATGGATTCCAAGCAGAAGCAAAGTGTTATCATTGAGTTCTTGATGCAGGAGGGGTCCAGGTTGTCCGACTTCCACAGAAGGCTATAAAATATTTACATAGATGACACTATTGATGAGCATTGTCTTTTCATTGGCGACTTGTCAATGGTGTCATCTCCGTCAACATTCTGCAACCTTCTGTGGATTTCGAAAAGCCTGTACCCCTCCACAGAAGGCTACAAAATGTTTACATAGATGACACTATTGAGAAGTGCAATGTCTTCTCACTGGTGACTCTTGTCAATTGTGTCATCACTGGAAACATTCTGAAGTTATCAAGAGCTCATGACAGCACATTACTTCTGCATGGAAAGAAGAACAAAGAAGAAGAAGAACGAAGGGGAAGAACGAAGGAGAAGGAAGATTTACTATAGAGGGAGAGTCACTCTACCACATACATGACACTATTGAGAAGTGCAATGCCTTCTCACTGGTGACTCTTGTCAATTGTGTCATCAATGGAAACATTCTGAAGTTATCAAGAGCTCAAAGACAGTACATCACTTCTGCTTGGAAAGAAGAACAAGAAGAAGAAGAACGAAGAAGAAGAAGAACGAAGAACGAAGAAGAAGAAGAACGAAGAAGACGACGAACGAAGAAGACAGACGAACGAAGAAGACGACGAACGAAGAAGACGACGAACGAAGAAGACGACGAACGAAGAAGACGACGAACGAAGAAGACGACGAACGAAGAAGACGACGAACGAAGAAGACGAGACGAAGAAGACGAACGAAGAAGAAGACGAACGAAGAAGAAGACGAACGAAGAAGAAGACGAACGAAGAAGAAGACGAACGAAGAAGAAGAAGAAGACGAAGACGAACGAAGGAAGAAGACGAACAAGAAGAACAAAGATGAAGAACAAAGATTAAGAAGAAAAAAAGAAGAAGGAAGAAGAGTTACTATAGAGGGTAGAGGAAGGGTTACTATAGAGCAGCGGTTCTCAACTGCAGGGGTCGCGACCCCTTGAGGAAGGGTTATTTCGAACGAGGGACCTTTTCCCAGGGGTCGTTTTACTAAGATCCAGGGTTACGAGGAAACACATATTTCTATAGAGGATGGTCTTAGAGGAACCGAGAGGGTTACACCGCGGGTCCTCTCTCCGGCGATGTGTGGGCGGATGATTTACGCTGCCATCGGAAAACACATCATTTCCGATGGTCGACAAAGGAACGAGCACACCGCTCCTCTCTCCGGCGATGTGTGGGCGGGATGATACGCCTGCTCCGAGTCACCTGGCCACAGGCTCTCCGGGATCGCTCAGCAGCTCCGCAATCCCTCCCCGCTGATTGGCCACCGGAACTGTAGCTCAGGAGAGGCACACAGGCGATATAAGCCGTAAATCACCGAGCGAGGAGGTGGAGCTTGGAGAGGAGGAGCCAAGCGGCAGCGCGCGTACATCAAAGAAGACCGAGGGAGCTGCCGGAGCGAGTGAAGAGGAGAGCGGCCAGAGAAGGAAGACAGCTGACAGGTAAGTGAGAAGAGCGAGCCCAGGCTGGAGCAGGGGTCAGCAAAGTAAGTATCATTGGTGTCAGTGGGAGAATAGTGCCCCATCATTTGTGTCACTGACACCAACGATGGGGCACTATTCCTCCCCCCACTGACACAACCAACGATGGGGCACTATTCCTCCCCCCACTGACACCAACGATGGGGCACCATTTCGACTATTCCTCCCCCCACTGACACCAACGATGGGGCAACTATTTCCCCCCCTCTGACCCCAATGATGGGGCACTATTCTCCCCTCCACCACACTGACACCAATGATGGGGCACTATTCCTACCCCCCACTGACACCAACGATGGGACACTATTTCCCCCCCCCCCCCCCGACCGCAATGATGGGGCACTATTCTCCCCTCCACCACACTGACATCAATGATGGGGCACTATTCCTGCCCCCCACTGACACCAATGATGGGACACTATTCCTCCCACTGACACCAATGATGGGACACTATTCCTCCCACTGACACCAAATGATGGGACACTATTCCTCCCACTGACACCAATGATGGGACACTATTCCTCCCACTGACACCAAAGTGATGTGGCACTATTCTCCCACTCCTGACACCAGTGATGGGACACTATTCCTCCCACTGACACCAGTGATGGGGGACACTATTCCTCCCACTGACACCAGTGATGGGACACTATTCCCTCCCACTGACACCAGTGATGGGGCCACTACTCCTCCCACTATTTCCTCCCCCCCCACTGGGGACACTCCCCCCAGTGATGGGGCACTACTCCCCCCACTGACACCAGTGATGGGGCAACGTGATGGGGCACTCCTCCCCCACTGACACCAGTGATGGGGCACTACTCCCCCCACTGACACCAGTGATGGGGGGCACTACTCCCCCCACTGACACCCACACTCCCCCCTTGACACCAGTGATGGGGCACTACTCCCCCCCTGACACCCCACCGCTGACACCAGTGATGGGGCACTAACTCCCCCCACTGACACCAGTGATGGGCACTACCTCCCCCACTGACACCAGTGATGGGGCACTACTCCCCCCACTGACACCAGATGATGGGGCACTACTTCCCCCACTGACACAGGTGATGGGGTCACTACTCCCCCAACTGACCCCAGTGATGGGGCACTACTCCCCCCACTTGACACCAGTGATGGGGCACTACTCCCCCCCACTGACACCAGTGATGGGGCACTACTCCCCCACTGACACCAGTAATGGGGCACTATTTCCTCCCACTGACACCAGTGATGGGCACTACTCCCCCCACTGACACCAATGATGGGGGCACTACTCCCCCCCACTGATCACCAATGATGGGGCACTACTCCCCCACACTGACACCAATGATGGGCACTACTCCCCCCACGACACCAATGATGGGGCACTACTCCTACCCCACCGACAACCAGTGATGGGGAACTACTCCCCCACTGACACCATGATGGGGCACTATTCCCCCCACTGACACCAATGATCGGGGGCACTACTCCCCCCACTGACACCAATGATGGGGCACTATTCCTCCCACTGACAGCAATGATGGGGGCACTATTCCTCCCACTGACGACATGACCAAATGATGGGGGGCACTATTCCTCCCACTGACACCAATGATGGGGCACTATTCCTCCCACTGACACCAATGATGGGGCACTATTTCCTCCCACATTGACACCAATGATGGGGCACTATTCCTCCCACTGACACCAGTGATGGGGCACTATTCCTCCCACTGATACAATGATGGGGCACTATTCCTCCCACTGATTACCACGTGATGATACCAACGGGGCACTATTCCCTCCCACTGGACACCAACGATTCACTCCCACTGACACCCAACGATGGGGCACTATTCCTGACCCACTGACACCAGTGATGGGGCACTATTCCTCCCACTGACACCAGTGATGGGGCAATCCTATTCCTCCCACTGACACCAGTGATGGGGGCACTATTTCCTCCCACTGACACCAGTGATGGGGCACTATTCCTCCCACTGATACCAACGATGGGGACACTATTCCTCCCCACTGATACCAACGATGGGGGGCACTATTCCTCCACTGACACCAGTGATGACAACCACTGATGGGGCACTATTCCTCCCTCCACTGATTCCTACCAATGATGGGGCACTATTCCTCCCAACACCAGTGATGGGGCACTATTCCTCTCACTGACACCAGTGATGTGGCACTATTCCTCCCACTGACACACTGCAAAATTACAGTTATGAAGTAGCAACGAAAATATAATTTTATGGTTGGGGGTCACCACAACATGAGGAACTGTATTAAGGGGGTCGCGGCATTAGAAAGGTTGAGAACCACTGCTATAGAGGGAGGGTTACTGACATCAGTGAGAGGGAGGGTTACTATAGAGGAAGGGTTTAACTATAGAGGCAAGAGTTACTATAGAGGAAGAGTTACTATAGAGGAAGGGTTACTATAGAGGGAGGGTTACTATAGAGGAAGGGTTACTATAGAGGAAGGGTTACTATAGAGGGAGAGTTACTATAGAGGAAGAGTTACTATAGAGGAGAGTTACTATAGAGGAAGGGTTACTATAGAGGGAGGGTTACTATAGAGGGAGTAGTTACTATAGAGGGAGGGTTACTATAGAGGGAGGGTTACTATAGAGGGAGAGTTACTATAGAGGGAGGGTTACTATAGAGGAAGGGTTACTATAGAGGGAGGGTTACTATAGAGGGAGAGTTACTCTACCAACTCGTGAAATTAAACAACCTATGTAAGTTAATAAAAAAAGATTAATAACAGATTCCAAGTCCTTGATGAAGGAGGGGTGCAAGCTGTCGGACATCCACAGAAGGCTACAGAATGTTTATAGAGATGACACCATTGATATCAGCAATGTCTTCTCGTCGGTGACTCCTGTCAATGGTGTCATCTCTGTAGCCCTCTGTGGGTGTCGGACAGCCTGCACCCCTCCTTCATCAAGAACTCAAAGACAGCACGTTGCTTCTGCTTGGAATCCATTATTTACCTGCAATGAAGAACAGTTACTCTACCAACATGTGAAATGTGAATGACTGATGTAAGTTTATAAAGTTACGCCACTTTTGCATTACTTTCAGTACAGATTGTGTATTATATTTTTGTATTGCTATATATGTTTTTTGCTGTAGGACCCACACATGGTCACAAGTAAATGGAAATGTCATGTTTTTCCATGGTGGTGTGCTGGAGTCACTTATACAAAGTCGGCTTCATCTGCCTACAAAGATCCTGTACTCGGGGAGGTATGACGAGGGCACTACAGCCTCTCTATTGACTTTCTGCTGGACCCATCCAAACTAAAGAGCCCAGCACGCCTCTCAGACAGTCGTAAAACACAGAGCTGCCTCTCAGACAGCCCTCTTCTCCAAAACAAATGTTATCCCAGGAATGCGCTTTGAACATGTGCCTTCCGCGCCTTGTGTATGAGAGGAGCGAGAAGTGAGCGCACAGCATCACACAGCAAAGGCTTTGATTGACAAAAAAAAAATCAGTGCTTTGATAAACAAGATGCTTCAAAGCAAGAATCCACGGGACCCTTAAAAACACATTCCACTTTTGGGGTCAAATTTGAGAAAACCCCCACTATATGTTTGTCATGTGTTCCCATTCACACATCATACCTAAAAACAGTGGTGTCGCTATGGGGATGTGGTGACACCTACCAGAGGGGTGAAACCATCAAGTAGAAAGTGATATCCAACCACGATGGTGTCACCCCCCCCCCTCTGTGATAGCGCACAGATTGGAATTTCGGCACCTACCGCATCATTTACAGGGGCTGGCTTGGGGTGCGCATCGTGATTGTGTGCTGCCGGCCTGAAAACTAACCAAGATTTACAAAGAAATATTTATTTGCAAAATTGTATGAGAAAAGCACTTTTTTTCACAATTTTTGGACTTTTTGGTTTATATAGCAAAAAAATAAAAATCCCAGTGATGAATGAATACCACCAAATAAAGTTTTATCTGTCTCAAAAAAAATGCTAAAAAAATTCATATCGGTACAGTGTTGCATGACCGCACAATTGTCATTCAAAGTGTGATAGCATGAATGAAACAAAAAAAAAAAACTGAAAGCTGAAATTGGCCTGGACTAGAAGGGGGGGGGGGGGGGGGGGGGGGAGTGTCCAGACTGGAAGGGGGGGGGGGGAAAGCGTCCGGACGGGAAAGGGGGGGGGGGGGGGGAGTGTCCAGACTGGAAGGGGGGGGGGGAAAGCGTCCAGGACGGGAAGGCGGGGTGGGAAGGGTAAGGTCCAGACTGGGGGGGGGGGAAAAGCGTCCGGACGGGAAGGGGGGGGGGGGGGGGAAGCGTCCGGACCGGGAAGGGGGGGGGGGGGGGAGAATGCGTCCGGGGACCGGGAAGGGGGGGGGAGGGAGGGAAAGCGTCCGGACTGGGGAGGGGGGGGGGGGAAAGCGTCCGGACCGGGGGGGGGGGGGGGGGGAAAGCGTCCGGACCGGAACTGGAAAGGGGGGGGGGGGAAGGGGGAAAGCGTCCGGACGGAAGGGGGGGGGGGGGAAAGGTCCGGACCGGAAGGGGGGGGGGGGGGGGGGGGAAAGCGTCCGGACCGGAAGGGGGGGGGGGGGGGGGAAAGCGTCCGGACCGGAAGGGGGGGGGGGGGGGAAAGCGTCCGGACCGGAAGGGGGGGGGGGGAAAGCGTCCGGACCGGAGGGGGGGGGGGGGGGAAAGCGTCCGGACCGGAAGGGGGGGGGGGGGGAGGTCCGGAACCGGGAAGGGGGGGGGGGGAAAGCGTCCGGACCGGAAGGGGCGGGGGGGGGAAAGCGTCCGGACCGGAAGGGGGGGGGGGGGAAAGCGTTCCGGACCGGAAGGGGGGGGGGGGGGAGAAAGCGTCCGGACGGAAGGGGGGGAAAGGGTCCGGACCGGAAGGGGGGGGGGGAAAGCGTCCGGACGGAAGGGGGGGAAAGCGTCCGGACGGAAGGGGGGAAAGCGTCCGGACGGAAGGGGGGAAAGCGTCCGGACCGGAAGGGGGGGGGAAAGCGTCCGGACCGGAAGGGGGGGGGAAAGCGTCCGGACCGGAAGGGGGGGG